TGCATCTCTCTTACTTCATTATCTTAAATTAAATTATTATGTTTTAGCGGAAAATAATTTAAAGAGGCTTAAAAATGAAACAAAACTTAATTGGTTTTAAAAAATCAAGTAACATAATTATCCCATAATTAACTTAAAAGTAACTTAATTATTATCTAATGATTGGCTAACTAACCTATCACAAATGTATAATATCAAATAATTAAATTATCAAAAATTGAATTTCACTAAACTAAATTAATTAATTAACCAAAGTAACCTTTACTAACCTAATAATTTAGTTAGCGTTAATTTATTATGAAATTAATTATTTTATTCAATAAATTGATTAACACCTTCTAAAAAATGAATTATTCAACTTGTTTACTAACCAAATAAAGAACTAGGGATGCAACTCAGGTGGGTTGGGTTGGTTTATAAGTCAACCTAGGCCCAATCTTAAAATGCAACCCTTTAGGCTCAGGTCTAGGAAAAGGTTAAGCCCAAATTTATCAACCCAAGCCCAACTAGATCTTAACCCAATACAACTCGAATTGGGCTTAATGTCATAGGGCTCTTTTCACTTCATTTTCTCTCAAAAGGTTCATATATAATATTTTATGTAAAGATAAATACTGTGGGTAAGGAAGAGGACCATAATGGATTACATTTGACCCATTTTCATTGACCCAATAGAGTAACCAAATCACATATAAATGCAAAAGTCGATCTACATTATGGCCTGTTTGGCATTATTAACAGACTTGTTAAGCAAGAACAATAATGTACATATCAAAACCAAAGAAAAGGAACTACATATAATTATTGATATTAATTTAAGGTTTGCTTTAACTTTTGGAAAACAGATGGATTATTTGTTTAGTTAGATATTAATTTAGTAGTTTCATACGTTAATCAATGACCCATATTAAAACAGGTATTGTATATGAGCCCCTTTATTCTTTTCAGATTATTATGTAAAACGTTTCCTCTCTCGTATCAAATAAAAAAACTATATCTCAAATTGCTCTATTAACCTACAATCTTTAAAAATAATAAAATTAAGTTACTAACTTAATTACTTATAATTAATTTAATAACTGTATGTTTTTAAATTATTATTAACTAATAGCTTATTTAACTTAGTAACTTAATAATTTTCATTAATTTAAATTTTACTTTAACATAATAAAAACCAATGCAAATTTATCTAACAATAACTTATAAAATAAAATTATATGTTAATTATATTAATAAAATTTAAAATCCATTTAATGTTTTTAGAATAGCAAAAACTATTAATAAAATAACAAAAAATATTAATTTTATTAAGATCATACAAATTTATTAATAAAATTAAAATCCATGTAAATTCAATTTAAAAATAATTAACAAAGCCGAGTTGGGATCTATCTCCTGCCAAGAAAACACATTCCAACACCCTACCAACTTGATCTAAGATTGTACATCTCACCATGAAACTGGGACCCACCATAAAAGTGGGACCTGCCATGTATCAGATATATAGTGTCGGATCATGTTGGTAGGTTGTTGGAATGTAATTTGTTGGCGGGGGATCTAGCACAAAGCCTATCCATTGCAATAGATATTTATAAAAATAAAATAAAATCCATGTAAATTCAATTTAAAAATGTAAAATATCTAGTAAAATATAATACAATTTTCTTTTTATATTACATAATTCACAATACAAGGGTAGCACGAAACATCCATGGACCTAACCACAAAGACCTTGTATTTTGTGGGTTTGATCATAAGGATATCTAGTGAGTAGTGACCAACTCAACCATCTCCTAACCATAAAGACCCCTTGTACTATAGGGTCTGTGACAAAAGTCCCCTTGTACTTTATTTTGCGACAAAGACCCCTTGCATTATAACCTTGAGACAAAAATCCCCTTCCGTTGAAATCCGCCGTTGTAATATTACCCTTGTAATAACAATTGGGAGAAAAATGATACACGAGCAGCGGTGGTGGTAGCTGTTAAAGCGGCAACGGACTTCCGAAGTCCTCCCTCTCTCTTCCTCTCTCTCTCCCCCAACAACATTGTAGCTGATCCAGTGATTGAGCACGAGAGAGACAGAGGGGGAGGGAGGGAGGGAAAGCCAGAAGGGAGCATTTAGTATCCACCGCCTCGACTCCTCCAACTTCTAGGCAGCGTCGGCTCCAACCGACACGATTGGCAGAGTTCCTGCGCCATCCTTTCTAGCAAGGTCGTTAACCAACAGCAGGAGACGGAGAAGAGTGGCAATGCTGACTTAACTGCCGTTAATGGTCACAAAACGCTAGATCTTGTCCCCATCGAGAATCTCCCTAAGCCTCTGACCATTATCGATCTCTCTCCCGCTCTGATGCACGGCTCCCAGCTTCGTGTCGCTTACCAGGGAGTTCCCGGTGCTTACAGCGAGGCCGCAGCCGGTAAAGCCTACCCGAACTGCGAAGCCATCCCTTGTGGCCAGCACGAAGTAGCCTTTCAAGCGGTGGAGCTACGGATCGCCGATCGGGCCGTGTTGCCTGTAGAGAATTCGCTAGGATGTAGCACTCACCGGAATTATAATCTAATTCCTCCGTCACTGCCTCCACATCGTGGTAGAAGTTCAGAGCTCTAGATTGTACATTTGGAGAAGATATAAAAAAATAGGAGACTATAATGTTTGTTCAGAACTGATCTAAGCTCTGATGAAGACAGGGTAGTGTCGTTATTTCCATACTTGGTTGCAGTTGTTCTTGGCCGTTCTAAACAAGAGGACTTGGGATTAACTAGCAGTCGGTTAATATTGTAGTATGTTTCTTTTAAAGTGATGCCCAATCAGTCACCGAAGTTCTGTTGGAAGGCTTAAAACCTCCTTGTCCCATTCCGAAGTGATGCCCATATTCGCCCCTTTCTGGCTTTCCCTCCCTTCCCTCCTGTCTCTCTCGTGCTCAATCAGTGGATCAGTTGCGATGGTGTTGGGACTGAGCTTCGTGCTCAATATCTGCTGTGTTTTTTTCCGGGAAGAAGAAAGGGAGGAGAGAAAAGAAGAGAGATCAGGGGAAAGGAGAGAAAGGGAAAGGGAGGGAGGACTTCAGAAGTCTGCCGCCGTTGCAATAGCTACCAAAAATTGCTGTTTGTGTATGGTAAAGTCGGAGAAGATAAATTATATTTTTTTCCAAATATTTAATTATAAGGGTGATATAGGTATAAAAAATATTGTAACAATGTATTTCAACGGAAGGCTAATGGAAGAGGGTCTTTGTTTCACATAGGGAGAGTTTTTGTTGCAAAACAAAATACAGGGGTCTTTGTCACAAACCCCATAATACAAAAGGTGTTTGCAATTTACCCTTTATCAAACAATACATAACCCAAAATAAATCTTAGGATGGATTTATCTAATTTAGCTCATTTACAAATATCACAAGACTCTTTTTATCTTTAATTTCTCTTAACAAAGTCTATGCATCACTCGACTAGTAGATATATAAGTTGAAGGAGATAGATACATAAATATTAAGATAAATATTTTTATAAAAAAAAGATATATAGATACACAGGCCAGGTTTAGATTTTGGACTTATTTTTAAGTTCTTATTTCTTTTTTGGCCCATCTTGACCAACAACGACTCATTTTTTAAAATACATATACTACCCCGTTTAAAATAAGTGAGATTTCACCAAATGATTATAAATGTTTATTAGAATAATAACTTATTTTTAAATATTTATTCAATAAAAAATTATTTTTCAAATAACACTCCCAAACTTGGCTATTAATGGAATAATATCAGGTCTAGACCTGTCTAGGGCCGGGTAGCTTGATGGGCCAGCGTAGTCCCTGGATGGGCTTGAACATGAGTTTTAGCTTGCGGGCTTGACTTTGGGCCTAAAAGCCCGACTCGATTTTTTGAGCCAGGCTCAGGATTTGTTAAAAAAGCCTGACCCAACTTTTATATAGTTTAAACACTAAATTCCTAAACCGCCTAACCCTAATCCTAAATTCTTCTCACTTTTCTTCTTATTCTCAGTTTTTCACTCTCAGACTCTCAGAACTGACGAACCCAGGTGCATTGTTTTCACTCTACAAACTTAGGCACTGGTGGCCAGTGCCACTGGAACTAGGTCATCTCTCTCTCTCTCTCTCTCCGGTTGGCACCTTTTTCATCTCCTATCTTCTCACTTTTCTTCTCATTCTCAGTTTCTCACTCTTGGACTCTTAGAACCAACGAACCCAGGTGCATCGTTTTTCACTCTACAAACTTAGGCATTGGCAATGGGCACCACCAGAACTAGATTGTCTCTCTCTCTCTCTCTGGTTGGCACTATTTTCATCTTCTATCTTCTTGCTTTCTCAGTTTTCATTTTCACTCTTAGACTCTCAGGAACCGATTAACTCAGGCACAATTCTCTCACTCCCAAGTCAAATTGTGGATTCGGACCCGGATTTTGGGTTTTTTATGAGGGCTGGGCTCGGGCCTAAATTGTAGGCCCATTGATCGGGGCGGATTCCTGAAAAATTTCTGTTAACGAATAGCAAAGGCCCGAGCCTGGCTGACCCCGGCCCATAAACAGGTCTATTCAGGTCCTTTTTACTTTTACCCGCTTTAGTTTACCAATTGGGCTGGGCAATTCCTTCAAAACTATGGGTTGGGCTCACCGTTTTACCAATGGGGCCTTTTGATAGCTTTCAACTTTCAACCTGGGCTTTGCCGGACTTATGTGCAGTGCCCCACGAATGAATTTATCCTTTCTTATCGCCCACCCAAAGAAGACAAAAAAACAAAAATTGGAGGCTGATGACTGATCCATTGTATTGTGGTTTGTGGACCTAGGTTCGGATCCAATAACTATGTGGGCCCACCAGGTGAGAAATCCAAAGTCATCGTTCATATACGTGGCATCTATCACAGCCATCCAATCCTCGAGACCGACTATTTCGAAAATCCATAGATAAAAAGCGGAGCGTGGATGATTTGTATTGGTTAGGAGGTTCGGTCACCGATTCAACCAAACAAGGAGCTCCACTATAAAAGGGGGTTGCTCTTGTCCCTTTTACCTTGTGTTCGTCTTCTTTCTCTTTCTTTGAAAAAAAAGGGTGAGGGTTCCTTCTCTCTACAGCTTTCAAGGTGAGGGTTCCTGATCAAGATCTCTTTCTTTCCTTTGATGATATTGGTTTGTTTTTCTTGTTTATGTAGTTCTTGTTGTGATCTGATTTTCCCTTGAATCGACCCGCTTCTTCTGTTTTCTTCTTTTCTTATTCTACTTTCTGGTTTTTCTTTTCCTTTTATCATCTAGGCCTAGTCGTTTTTTTGTTTAATTACTAATTTCTTCACCATAAATAGGCAGATGAATTTTGATTTTTGAATCTGTAAAATTTTAATTATATTTCTGCTCTTGTTCTCTGCGCCTTCTACATGGAAGCATATGCGGCCTTTCTTCATGATTCCGATCTTTGGCTTCTTGTAATCTGTAGATAAGGTGTTTTTTGTCCTTTTATCTTCCCTAGATTCGGTTTGTTTCGTCTGATCCATACGAAAAGATATTTGATATCGGTTTATTTTTAATAAGTTTTCGTTGCTTCCTAGTGTACTTCTCTTGGTTTTGTTGCAAGATTCGTGAAACGATGTGTAATTTTTGGGTTTTCTGTTTTAACCTTTGTGATCGCTGGTGAATCGAGTCATGTAATATTCTTTACGATATTAAGAATAGAAAATTTTACTTCACCTTGCTGGATATGTTTTCTGACAATCCGATGGGTTTGCAAGATTTTTGATTTTTCTGTTCAGTCCATGCACTTGATGGACTTGGCTTCGATGATGGGTTTGACAGATCCTTCTGTTGGGATTTACCCTTACAATCATTTGTTTATGCTGCTGAATGTTTTAGATGTTGGAGATGTTTTTTGTTAATGGTTGAGGTCTTTTTCCGTTTGCTGATTTTTGTTTCTCCTTGTTCCTTCTACAGATGCAGATCTTTGTTAAGACACTCACTGGAAAGACTATCACTCTCGAAGTTGAGAGCTCTGACACCATTGATAATGTAAAGGCTAAAATCCAAGACAAGGAGGGAATCCCCCCAGACCAGCAGAGGTTGATCTTCGCTGGGAAACAGCTCGAGGATGGTCGGACGTTGGCTGATTACAACATCCAGAAGGAGTCCACCCTCCACCTTGTTCTCCGTCTGAGGGGTGGAATGCAAATCTTTGTCAAGACTCTAACCGGAAAAACAATCACTCTTGAAGTTGAGAGCTCTGATACGATTGATAACGTCAAGGCAAAAATTCAGGATAAGGAGGGCATTCCCCCAGACCAGCAAAGGCTAATTTTTGCCGGAAAGCAGCTCGAGGATGGTCGTACTTTGGCTGATTACAACATCCAGAAGGAGTCTACCTTGCATCTGGTCCTCCGTCTTCGTGGGGGTATGCAGATCTTTGTCAAGACGTTGACTGGCAAGACTATCACTCTCGAGGTTGAGAGCTCTGATACAATTGACAATGTAAAGGCAAAGATCCAGGACAAAGAAGGGATTCCACCTGACCAGCAGAGGCTCATCTTTGCCGGAAAGCAGCTTGAGGATGGTCGGACCCTTGCAGATTACAACATCCAGAAGGAATCCACCCTCCATTTGGTACTTCGACTTCGTGGGGGGATGCAGATCTTCGTCAAGACTCTGACTGGAAAGACCATCACTCTCGAGGTTGAGAGCTCTGATACAATTGACAATGTAAAGGCAAAGATCCAGGACAAAGAAGGGATCCCACCTGACCAGCAGAGGCTCATCTTTGCCGGGAAGCAGCTTGAGGATGGTCGGACCCTTGCAGATTACAACATCCAGAAGGAATCCACCCTGCATTTGGTACTTCGTCTTCGTGGGGGGATGCAGATCTTCGTTAAGACTCTGACTGGAAAGACTATCACGCTTGAAGTTGAGAGCTCAGACACCATTGACAATGTCAAGGCAAAGATTCAAGACAAGGAGGGAATTCCACCGGACCAGCAGAGGCTCATCTTTGCTGGAAAGCAGCTTGAGGATGGCCGGACCCTTGCAGATTACAATATTCAGAAGGAATCAACGCTTCACCTTGTCCTCCGACTCCGTGGTGGAATGCAGATATTCGTGAAGACTCTAACTGGGAAAACCATCACCCTGGAGGTTGAGAGCTCGGATACCATTGACAATGTGAAGGCGAAGATTCAGGACAAAGAGGGTATCCCACCAGATCAGCAGAGGCTCATTTTTGCCGGAAAGCAGCTCGAGGATGGTCGCACCTTGGCTGATTACAACATACAGAAGGAGTCTACGCTGCACTTGGTGCTCAGGCTTCGCGGTGGAATGCAGATTTTTGTGAAGACCCTGACTGGGAAGACGATCACCCTTGAGGTTGAGAGTTCAGACACCATCGACAATGTGAAGGCTAAGATCCAAGACAAAGAGGGGATCCCACCAGATCAGCAGAGGCTCATCTTTGCTGGGAAGCAGCTCGAAGATGGTCGCACATTGGCTGATTATAACATTCAGAAGGAGTCCACCCTTCACCTTGTCCTTCGTCTGCGTGGTGGTTTCTGAGATCTCTGCCTCAAGTTCCTACTATGTTATGCTTTTCTTTAGGTTCTCTCTTAATATGTCTGGACTTTAGCAAGTGATATGGCTAAAATTATGTTTTATACTATTCAGAGATCAGATCTCTGTTTGATGTTGCTATATGCCTATATCCAAGTAATTATGCTATTAAAGATTCTATTACCATGAAACTCTGTTGCTAAATGAATGTTGGGGTGGTGGCTGTATCTACAGCTCTGCAGAGAGCCTGCATATGCTTATTACACAATATTAAGTGCAGAATGTATGGTAATTATTAATATTTTCAGTATTTTTACAATTCTGTGGTTAATTAGCTTTTAATTAAAACGTGAATTTAAGTTGCTTACCACAACATCCTGAAAATCCCTCAACCCATGGTTGGGGTGTTCTTCAATGTGAATTGTGAATTGTTTTTTACTATTATAAATTTCAAAAAATAAATTAAAACTATCTGGGTTGAAAACGAGTTGTTTCTTAAAACAAAAAATGGAAACATGTTTTTGGTTGTAATAGATTTTTCCACGTGTTTTTTTTTTTTTGGTTTTTAAATCTGAAACCAAAGATGTGTTCTTTGAATTTTTTTTTTCGAAAATCACCATTTTATTGGATTTTTCCATGTGCTCATACAATTTGTTTTTAATTTTTTTTTGAAAAATTTAAAACCGAAAGTCTGAAACAAAAATTGTAATAGATTTTTTCATGTTCACACTATGTTTCATAAATCATATACCATCTTTATTGCTAACATTTGCTTTTTTTTTTCCAAAACCATCAATTTATTGGACTCAAAATTCATGAATTGTTCTCTTTTAAAATAAAACCACTTGTTTCCATTTACCGGTGTTCCTATCTACAAGGTAGTAGGGAACCAACCATTGGGAAAAGGGATCAGATCCGGACTCCATTCAAGGGATTCCCCACCTAATATTCACTTCCTAGGCAAATTCTAGTATCAAAATTAAATGAATCAACCGGAAGCCTTACACGGTGTTTTACACCTTCCATCCATTTTTTCAACTTCCGCAATTGTCTATAATGGATTGATTGGTCCATTCATAATTGAGGTCCATTCAGTTTGCTAATCTTAAAGCAGGGACAATGGGCCATCCCATTAAATATGGGCTTAATTTGCCTACGCCCAGGACCTTGACTTCCCAGTTGGGCTAGAGGGAATTCAATCCACTTCATCGTTAACACATATCTCTGTTACTTCATTGAAGTATCCTCTTCATTTCCATTTGAACTTGATTACCAACGAACTCGAATTAAGCCTACACCCCAAACTGTTAGATTAAAGCTTATTGGAATTGCATTCCTATCAATTACAAGCGTTAGGGAACAGATATGTACCTTTCCTTTAGGCCCCATTTGGAAGCAGTACAAATACAAATATATAGAGTGCAAAACCTTTTATTTTGTATTATTTTGGATGTATTTGTAGTTTTGTACAAATATTTGTACTCCTTCCAAACTGATATAGTTGTCAAGGCGATGCATACATGACAAGGAATCCTTGAAGGATTGTCTTGTCCAAGTACCTACATGTTTTTGAATAAAGCATTGCATGATATTTTTATATATATATATTTTTATTTGGGATATTTTAATTTGTAATATTTTTATGATTACTATACTCCTTTCTTTTATCGTATTCTTATTTATTCGTATCCAATACATATTGGGACCTGTTTGGATCGCAAGAATAGGGGTCTAGAATTGGAATTAGAATGGCTTATTCAGATTTCAATTGTTTGGTTGGGCAGAATTGGAATCTCATTCCCACTCTTGGTGGAGTGGCATTCCCCCATTTGAGGGAATGGCCATTCCCTCCCCTTCCTGAATGAAATCCCTTTTCAGCTGATTTCAATCCACATTCCAATTTTTGTCTAAACCAAACAGACTATGAGAATAGATCATTCCGATTCTGATTTCAAGGGATTTTGATTCTGATTCTTGTTTCGATCATAAACCAAATGGACCCTTAATTGGTGAAGTGGCTTTGAACCTTTTAAGACTTGGAAACCTGAACCAATATATAACAAAGAATTTGAAGGTCTTAACCAATCAACACAACAGAGAAAACGAAAATGTCTTCTACTTCAAGGATTCAGCTTCAACCTCTATATTTTCTAATGTTTTTTATTTTTTCCATGTTTTGACATGAGGTTCATACTTATTTATGATAATTATTAGTCAAAGTCCACTGCTGATTCTTATGCAACCTAGGGAACTCCCCTAGGATTTATATATTTTTATTTAAATAACTCATTGCCTAAATGACAAGGCACCCCGTGTAAAAGAGATTCACCTTCTTGCCTTAAAGAACTATGTTAACTCTTTGAGGCAAACCGGTCAAGGCTTTATATGGAATTGTTGTGTTGATAGCAAACCGGTCAAGGCTTTATATGGAATTGTTGTGTTCTAATATCAACTTTTACCAGTAGTCATTGCAAGAACACGAGCCATCCTTGAAGTGATGGAAGCGAACTCGATCCCTGACAATTATTTCTCTTTTAAAAGCTTTGGAGACAAACTTTGTAAAGGAATGGCAATCTCTACAAACCCTCAAATTCTTCACAATCCGCAAACAATTTCCTTCTGGTGTTCGTGCCAGTCCAAAAGCAATTGCCAGCTTCTCACTATGATAACGGTCTGAATTTTCTGATTGCTCGTTGGTGAATTCAGATACTGGTGTTAGAGATTCCTCTTCAACATAGCCAGCCAATACTGCTCGATGGATTACATCTTTCAATTCTGAATAGATCTCTTCAGTGTCACTATGTGACCTGTCCCCGACGACAAATCTATGAATTCTGTCATCAACTTCAATCCAACTCCAACCTGGAGTTGTCTTGAATTTTTGACTTCTTATCAGTTTTCTCATCCTTGCTGCACCTTGTTTATCTCCGGCTTGAGTGTAGATTGCTGCCAGAAGCACACAGTCTCCTGCATTTAGTGCCTCAAGACGAACTAGGTTCCTCATACCAATCTCTCCTGTTTTCACATTTCTGTGGATTTTGCAAGCACCAAGTAGGGTTCGCCAAATAACTGGATCATCTCCAACAGGAGACCTCTGAATAAATTCAAGTGCCTCTTCCAATTTTCCAGCACGTCCATACAAATCCACCATGCACCCATAGTGCTTAGTTCCAGGCTTCAGACTGAAATCAGAACGCATCATGTGAAAATACTTGAGACCTTCCTCAACTAAACCTTGGTGACTGCATCCACAAAGCAAGCCAAGGAATGTAACCGAACTTGGATGGATCCCGGTCATCAACATTTGCTGGAAAATTTGAATAGCCTCATCACCATGACCATGGACACCCAACCCCACAATCATAGAATTCCAAGTAAATACATCACGCCTTCTCATCCCATCAAAAACCTGGCGAGCTCCATCCAAATTGCCGCATTTGGCGTACATGTCTATAAGAGCGTTTCCCACAAACACATTGTTCAAGAACCCATTTTGACGTGCAAATTTATGCATGTGAACTCCGAAATTCAGTGCCCCCACATGGGCACAAGACGAAAGTAAGCTAACAAGGGTGAAGGCATCAAGCCCCAAATCCGAAATTCTCATTTGATCGTAAATCTTCAATGCCTCATCGTGCAAGCCCGCTTGCGAGTAGCAAGAGATCATCGCATTCCAAGAAATTAAGTCTCTCTGGGTCATTCTATCAAAAACCTTCTGTGCACATTCAATGGATGTATTTGCCGAGTACGATCTCATCAAATTCGTGCATACCGTGACATCCTCAGCATACCCACATCTTATAATCGACCCATGGGCTTCTCTGCATTTCTCCTCTGCCTTGGATTTCTCACAAGCCTTGAGCAAAAACGAGAATGTGTAATCGTCAGGTCGGCTCTGACCCTCAAACATCATACTATTATAACAGAGAATTGCCTTCAGAGGAGATGGGCTCTGAGAGAGGCCTCTAATCATTGAGTTCCAAGCTGCAGTATCTGGGTTGTTAATCTGGTTGAAGAGAAGATGGGCATAAGCTAGGCTTCCTGAGACGGAGATAGCACAGAAGCTCAGGAGTTTGTTTGAAATGGCAAGGTCGTCTTGGTACCCATTGACGATGACAAATGCTTGGATCTTTTGAAGCCTTTTCATGCTGTTGCATCCTTGTAACAGGTTCAGTATGCCATTAATTCTTGACATACTGGACCATCACCAACACTAAATGCTTGTAAGAAAACAACTGGAGCAAGAGAGCAGAGTGGGGAACACAGTCCTCCTCCACATTGCAATGAGATTTGGAATATGAAGTTCGCATTCAAATTATAGAGGTGATGCCCATGCTGGACAATCAAAAGAAGCTTGAAAAGTAAAGTGAAACCCCAGAACATGTCGCTACAAGGGCTACACATTTTAAAAGAGAGGAGCTCCTCGTTGATTCGGTCATACCTGGATCAGCGTGTGGGTGGAGACCGGAGAGCTCGAAAATGGAGAAGCAAATACGGAATGAACAGACAACTGCCTCCGGGCTTTAATTGGGTCGGATTCGAAAACGAATCCAATAACATCCGGATTCTATCCAATTATATAAAATCTGAATTCGAATCTGATAGTCATAAAATTATATTTGCCCTTATCGGCTAGAAGCCCTATTTTAAAGAGATTTATGGCAAGACTATGGTGCATGAACTGCACCCTGAGCCAAAATTTGTGAACCAGCTATAAAAGAATCCGTCACAGTTCACATCTTTATGGTTGTTGAAGTACCCATGATGGGTATATGCTTTGCTAAATGAAAATAAATGAAAAATAAATAAAAGGAAAATTCCTGATACTTTGGTCTTGAACTTAAAAATATGATAATTTAGTATCTAATTTTTAAAATGTATTAATTTAGTATTTGTCATTAATCAGTTGTTAACCATTGGCATTTGAAAGAGATACAAATGCCCTTGAATATTATCAAATTTTCTTTATCAATCATTCAAACATTAACAAAAAATTAACAGTCCCAAATCATTGCCTCTTCTATTTAAAAATGTTGGGGTCACGAGAATGCCCATTGATACATGACCCCAACTTTCTTGAATAGAAAATGCAAGGATTTGAGATTGTTAATATTCTGTCAACATTTAGGTCGTTTATAAAGAAAATTAGATGGCACTTGAATGGCATTTGTGTTTTTTTCATTTGCCACTTAACAAATGGTTAACGACAAGTACTGAATTGACACATTTTGAAAGTTCAGATGCTGAGTTGTATTTTAAAGTTCAGGGACCAAAGTATCACTAGGTGCAAAATACAAGGTACTAATAAGGAATTTTTCCATAAATAAATTATGTAACTTCTTTAATGTAATTGGTTAATATTGATATAACATGCATCCTAATTGGATTAATATAATTTATTAAATTTATTAATTACAAACTTTATATGATCATATATATGTTCCACTAAATGTGTAAACATATAATTATAATATATAAAATATTTTTTTATTGGATATAGATTTTAATCAAATCAAATGAGAACAAATCCACATTTGATTTCACCCTTGAACGGATGCAAGCACCAGAATCCAATTGGATTTGATTATGTAAAAGAATAATCAAAATCCAAAGGAAATGGATCGAATTTTGAAGATGCATATCATATGAAAATTCATAAATTTTAATTATTAAATTAATTATTCTATTATTAATATTTTTATTTTTATAATTTTTATAAATTAAAAAAATCTTTTTGATAGATTCAACTTATATTATATTTTCAAATATCTTGTAAGCAATATTTTTATCTTTGTAAATAATAAATACATTGATATTTAATGCAAATTAAATTATTAACTAATAATTTATAAAAAAAATAAGATATATATTATATGCAAATTTATAAATTCTAAGTATTGAAATAATTATTCTATTATTAATATTTTTATTTATATAAAGTTTTTAAATCAAAATTCAAATTTTCATATATATATATATATGTTGTGTGTGTGTGGATTTTATGAATTATTTATTCCGTCGATTTATAATATACTAATTTTTAATATTATTCCTTTTAAATTATATTTGGATTTGTTAAAAACAAATGTATGCTGTTTTTTTTTATTTAATGTAGACATTAATCTTAATAAAAGTAAATTTATTACCTTTGTTGACATGAAATAAGAAGTAGCTTGTTGGTTAAAGAGATGTAAGTGTAGAAGCATTGAGTAACTAGGGTTCAAATTATGTCATTCCCCTTTTTATATTGAATTGCTATGTCATACTCTTGTAAATCTAGGATATTGTATCGGTCCGATATGATACACCAGTGCGTATTGGCCGATATGATGCACCTGGACATATCATACCGATATTTTAATCTTTGGTGATATGTATTTTGTCGGTGTCAAAGATATCCAAATGTTAAATAATGAGAGTTAAGGGCTTTAATAGTTTTAGATATTAATATCAATTCTAACATATAAAACTGTTTTAAACTGAAAGGAATAACAAAAAGAAAAATGGTCATTGAAAACTCAAAAATTGCATATCATGAATATTGGTTTTTTAAACCTTCATATAAATGATACATTCATATGATAATTACAATGCGTCATTGGCATAAAAAATAGTTATAGAGATCACCCATGAGGCCATGACACACTTAAGGCTATGTTTGGTTTGAAGGAAAAGGTAGGAAAAAAAAGAAAAAAATAAGGGAACCTTTACAAATCTGTAAAAGTTGGTGTAGTTGGGGAGTACAACCAGGCATTCTCCATCACTCAATTCAGTCTACATCCTCGAAGATCTGTGCTCCTTGTTATGTTTGGTGATAGGCAAGAAATCTTTGACTGATTTGCAACCACTGCTATTTCCAAAGGCATTGGATACACTTGGGCGGTGGAATTTACAAAGGTTTTGGATAAATTGGGGCCTCTTATAGGCTAAGATTTGGATGGTATACGTACCTTCTATCTTTATTCTTTGCACAAACTATAGGCGATTTATGTTTAGGTGCATGCATCTCTCCCAAATGAGGCGGGCTGTGGAACCAATAATAAGGATCCATGCCAGTATTTAAATACATGAAAACTGCATCTTTTATAGTGGGGCTCATGAATTTATTACTGGCTTAAGACCTCATCATTTGTTTCATAACCCGCATTCAACCAATCTGAATTTGTTTAGGAGGGCTGAACCACAACAACAGCTTCTGTCTTTTTGAGGTGGGCCCCATGGGATGACATGGTGCCTAGAAGTTATGTGTCCGTTTTGTAGGGCTTTTGTGGCTTCTAGCTTTTTGAAGAAGGCACTACACGGATAGTCTTAAAGCTAGGGGTGTCAATTGGATTGGATTTGGTCCAATGTGAGTTCATTATAAATGGACTAGGTCCAATCCAATCCAATGAATATTTTGGAATGGTCCAATTCAATGTCTAGAACATCCAATCTATTCAAATTCGTTTTGATTTAAATTGGTTTCAACCCAAACCCGGTCCATTGACACCTATATTCTTGTCTTATATCAATGAACCAGATATTGGCTTAATCCAATATAAATTTATTACAGACTGACCAAGTCCAATCAAGTCTAATAAATATTTTAGACTGGAATATTGGTCCAATCCAGTATGTCTTGTTGGTTCGTCCAGTCAGTTCAAATTGATTTTGGACTGGATGGGGTCCAATCCAAAACCGGTCCATTCACACCCTTACTTAAAAAGCTATGTTTGGTAAAAAAATTCCAGCTAGTCCAAATTGGTTGTTAGTCATTTTTTGGGCTGTTTGTTTCAACCTTTTTAGATAGTTTATCCCGAGTGCCTCAAAACAGATGAAGTTAGTTTAGCTGAATGTTCAGGTTGATCCTCCCAAACAGGCACTATATTTGGTTAAAAATCCAGAAAGTCCAAATTGTCAACCTCTTTGAGTGCCCCTTTGAGAGTAAGGGCTGCTGATTCAACCTCTTTGAGTTCCCATCTGGGAAGGTAAGCTGAACATTAATCTAAACTGGTTCATCTGCATTTCGGATAAACTATCTATAAAGGTTGAAGCAGACGGCCAAAAAAATATCAGGTGTGATCAAGTGATAGCCAACTTGATATCTCCGAAATTTTCACCAAACATGATTTAATTTAAAAAGCTGTTCGTGTAGGGCCAACTTTGAAAAGCTAGAAGCCATTGCATTTCAGCTCTCCCAAATAAGTACCGAATTGCTCATCTCTGGAATACTTCAAAAACAGCTGAATAAGCTTAACTGAATCTTTAGTAACAAGATTTATTAAAAGGGAAAATTCCTGATTACCTTGTGCTTTGGGCTTATTGTCACTTTGATCCCTGAATTTTAAAACGCGACAAAATTCAGTATTCGAACTTTCAAAATATGTCAATCTATTACCTGTCGTTAATCAATCCATTAACCAGTCATTAAGTGATATTTGAGAAGATACAAATGCCTTTTGAGTGTTATCTATTTTTCTTTATCAACCATCCACATGTTAATAAAAATGAACAATCTCAAATCTTTGAATAGAAGAGGTAAGGATTTGAGACTATTTATTTTTTATCAACATTTGAATGGTTGATAAAAAGAATTAGATAACACTAAAAGGATATTTTTGTCTTTTCAAATGTCACTTAATGATTGATTAACAGGCTGGTTAATACCAGGTACTAGATGGACACGTTTTGAAAATTCAGATACTAAATTATGATGTTTTAAAGTTCAGAAACCAAAATAACACTAAACCCAAAGAACAGGATATTCATCTGAAAATTTCCCCTTATTAATAATTGGTTTCTTAAAGTTTTATTTAAATATTTTCATAATTTTATACACAACAAGATAAGAGATTAAATTTGAATCTGATTCGACTCGTTCAGACCAGATTCTGGGTCGAATTCATATCCACTGGTTTTATAGTCGGATCAGATGGGATGTAGCTGGATCCAGTGTGAATGGATCTGGTTACAGACTTACAGCCCCGCTCTGTATTATAATATAAACACCTAATTAATGATTTAAACACGCAATAGAAAAGATATGGTATAGAAAGAGTTTTATCTCGAGTGGTTCAAGTTTGATGACCTATACATTACTCTTTTTCTTCACGGTGGTAGCAGAACTCGAAAGAGACAAATCATCCACGTACCAACTGATCTACCCCTCATTGGCAATACACCACTTCAGTTAATGCTGCAAGTGAATTTAAATTTGTGTTATATATCATGATTCATGAATAAATTAAATTGAAAATAACTTTCTTGATGCTTTACCTTATGTTGGGAAAGACTAAAAGAGGTTCTAAAAGCCAAGGTTCAAAGTATCATACAGGCCCATATATTGATATTTTTAATGTTTTATTTATTTTTTCAAAATCGGTTCATAGGGATTGCGGGATCGGTTTAATTCTCGATTACTCTCTAAATTGTGATCTAACCCGATACAAGATACAATATATCGGCCGATATGAACTAATACATATCGATACTTTGAAACTTACTAAATGCAGTAAATGCAGCAGGCATAGGGATAGAGGCGGCAGAAGCAGAAAGTATGCGTGATGGCCTGCGGCCAATGTGCTGTTTTCACGGGGGGTGGGCCTATATTTTTGTAAGACCGTCTTTTGATCTGGTGGGCTCTGTTTGTTGGGGTTTTGGTCATTCCTTTCTGTATAGTTGGTGTTTTCTGGGGTGGCTCTGTTTTTCTTTTGTTTGGACTGTGAACGTAGTAATGTCTTGGTGGTCGTTTGAACTCAAGATATTCTTTAGTGTTTTTCGACCCTTTGGCCTTTTGTATCATCCTTCTATATATGTTATATTTATTTATAAATTTTCATTTAATTACCAAAAAAACGAATATTGAAAATTCAAACCGAGATAAAATATAAATTATAAATATAATGGGTTCTAAATTTCTAGATGTGCTCGTTTTGTTTTGTTTCTTTTTCATTTTGAATGATTTAGGGTTTATCAGAACTCAGAAGATCTTCAATTCTTCTAAGAAAAAATGTACTTAAAATGGATAAATCTTTAATACAATCTTATATCATATGCCAGAGGTGTTACATGCAAGATTACATACATAGACCTCCAAAGGTGAAGGCCATATAGTAAAAACAAATAAATAAATAAACAAAATAAAGGCCACAATACAATTGAAACAAATTAATTAGAATCACTTAATAACAAAGACAACAAGGCAGGCTTCTAAACATGTTTGAAGGACGTGAGAGTCCTGCCGGAGATCTCCCAAGGCTTCTCCCACACAACAGCCTCATAGTTGTTGGTAGCATGGCCGTCGTTTGCCGCAACTATAAGCCGGTACTTGGTGCCGGCGACCACTTGGGTCTCACCCCGAACCACCTTTTGGAACTTGAGGTTGGTATTAGCTTCCTTGTTGTGCTGGGTGATGACGAATCGTGCCAGCTCTTGGACATGCGGATCCTCTACATCTTTTATAGGCTGCCAGCCACCGAGGGCTGGTGGCTTCTGATCAGACACCGCATCGGAACCAGAAACTCCGTTGGACACAGGGAAGGAAACAAGGAGAGGAAGGAGAAGAAGAGATTGAGTTTTCATCTTGCTGTTTTGGAGAACTTGGAGATGACGAGTTGTAATTAATTGCTGCTATGCCACAAAGGGAATCCGCTGTGGAATTTATAGTTGTGTTTAGTTTGAATTTTCGCCCGATACAAACACGTGGATGGATATGTCAGTAACGAAACGTTTCAAACTTTTCTTCATCTTCTCTAGATTCATGGCTAACCAGTGACGTTAAGTAACGCCGCCCTATACTGTAACGCGTTTGCTTGAGAGGATCTCAATCGAGAGAGAGAGAGAGAGAGACGTAAGACGCAGTTACAGGAGTCCAACATAAGAAAGAAACAAGAAAATCAAGAAACAGCTAGAAGGCGTTGACTGGCCCATGGGTCAGAGGCATTAATATCGATGATCCAAAACCCAAGGATTTTGACTAGTGCTGCAACCAAGTTGTCCACATGGAAATCAATGATTCACATCTGACCTCACCTTCTCGACAATGGCATCACATCACTCTTTTGTCATTTGTCTCGTAATATTAAGGTTATCTCGAACGCGGGCTAGAGGCCTATGGCCCACAAGGCCTTGCTTAGGGGGTTGCACCCAGCCCATGCGAAGCTAGAAAACCTCAATCCCCCAACCCCCAACAAGAGAAACTGTCTTGAAGCTTTGCAACTTTCCTCTGGGTGTGATGCTCAAAATATTTCAACTTCCAAGAGGATGAAATTGGAATTGTCCATGGTGGGCCTGAAATGATTGGTAAGCTTGAGATCCTGGAGCCCAGGCCTGATTATTCAGACTTTAATATAGCCCGTAGGTAAACTTTGTTGAAGCTGAAGCTTGGGCATTGAGGTTTTACAACAAAACCTGAGCTACACAACCCGGGGGTGGGGGTGGGGGGTAGCTCTTCCCCTTAAATCAGCACCGAAAATAAAACTAAGATCACAAGACATAAAATCCCTATTGCTCCCTTGACTACGTAGCTAGATCTTTGCGGGCTAACCAATCAGTTGTTTGGTTTGCTTCACGAAAAGCATGCTTGAATTTGATATCTAAGTTGAAGAAGTCAATAAGATTCAGGCTTTTCTTGATTATGCATTCCATTCTCCATGGGGGGATTCTTCCGTTGAGGCAGTCGATGACAATCTTTGAGTCTCCTTCAATGATGATCTGCCGGTCCCTGTAGTTAATCATACTATTAATAGCTCTCAAGCCGCCTGCACTTCAGCAAGGTTAATCGTCGTGACACCAATCCTATGGGCCTTGGTTTGAAGGACTTTGCCCTGACGATTCCTAGCGATGCACCTAATGACGCAGTTACCATTATTTGAACAAGTAGCATCAAAGTTAATCTTAATGCAATCAGGTTTACGACTAAACCACTCTACATGAATCCTAGACATTTTATTGATGGTTTCATTACAATGAGAGAGAGCTTTTATTTCGTTCCAGTAAACTATCGCTGAACCAAAGAATACAAACAAAATTTTCTCTTATGAATTTATCGTTGAAGGATAGATTACCCAACTTACTGGCATATCTAAATTGTCTACATCATTCTGATTAACATAATCCATTAGCGGGCCATTTCCAGCCCAAGAATCCTTCCAAAAATAAGCCTTATTCCCATTTCCAATCCTCCACTTGGATTGGAAACCCCTTTCCAGGCCCAAGAACCACTTTTTTATTTGGGTTGGCCTCCCAAAAGTTGTTCTTATTAAGATATTTTCTTGAAACCACCTTAACACAAAGGTTTTCTTGACAATTAATAATTTTCCAACCCAACTTAGCTAGAAGAGCCCTCCATCTAAGGTTCTTCACCCCCAATCCACCCCACATTTTGGAGTACAAACTCTACTCCACTTAACAAGATGGATGGGGTTTTGACTTCTCGAATTCAACTATAAAAATCCCTTTGGGATTTCTCCAAATCATCAATTACATTAATTGAAAATTTAAAGGATTGCATAACAAATTGTGGGATCATAGAAGTAGTAGAATTAACCAAAGTTAATTTACCTGCTAAAGAAAGAGAGTTTTTTTTTTTTTCCAACTTGCAAGCTTGTTGGACATTTTTTCTTTGAGATATTTGAATGTTTCTCTAGATGCCCTACCATCTTTGATGGGAGCTCCAAGATATGTTTTATTTCTACTCCCTATGGGAATCTTAAGGATTTTGGCCATAACTCTCTAATGTATATTAAGGATGTTTTTAGAGAAAGTTATGGCCAATTTGAGGTAATTAGGAAGTTGACCAGAGGCTTTAGCAAAATTATCCAAAATCTCCTTGATTTTGAGGCATGAATTGATAGAGGCCTTAATAAAAATAATGCAGTCATCCGCAAATTGAAGAATGGGAATGGAAGGACCACCCCTTAGAGGCTTTACATCCTAAAACCTTCTCTCCATTAAGAGCCTCCATGTTTAAGCTTACTGGTTAGGGCTTTAACATAGAGCACAAATATAAGGGGATAGGGGGTCCCCCTACCTAATACCCCTATTGGCACTGATAGTTCTAGTGGGAGAATCAATTATAAGGATTTGGAAGGAAACAATACTAATGATACATTTGATCATAACCCAATTTATCCATTTTGCATGGAACCCAAACCTCTCTAGGACTTTTCTAATAAAGTCCCATTCCAGCCTATCATTGGCTTTTTACATGTCAATTCTACAAGCTAACATCCTCCATTTTCCTTTTTTACTTCTTCGTTGTGTGTAACATTTCGTGGGCAACAAGAATATTATTCATGATATGCCTATTAGGAATGAAGGCACTCTGAAAGGGGGAAATAATATCATCCAACAAAGGCTTAATTCGATTTACAAGGATCTTATAAATGATCTTGTAGATCACATTACAAAGACTAATGGGCTTGTAATTATTGACACCCTCTGGATTATCACATTTTGGTATGAGAGTAATGAAAGTTCTATTGAAATTGCTATTCATTTTTCCTAAATGAAAAAAGGCCTTGATTGTATTATAGATAGTATCCCCTACAATATTCAAATACTTTTTGAAGAATAACACATTAAGACCTCCTTCATAGAAAGAAGGGTATTGTGAATCTCCTCATTAGTAACTACCCTACAAAGATTACTGCTCATGGTTTCAAATGCACATCAGTTAATATCTGAGATGAAATTGTCAACATGTATAGAACCCTCAGTTTTGAATCTTTTCTCAAAATTACTACAAAAAAATATTCTTTGATAGGAGGATCTATTTCTTTAACCCAATTACCATTATCATCCTTAATCTTTCTGATTTTATTCTTTTGCGAATTGTTGCAGTAGTATGGAAGGATTTGTTATTCCTATCCCCAAATTTCAACCAATTAACTCTTGAATTTTGTGCCCAATAAATTTCTTCTAGAGCAAGAGTGTTGTTGAGGAGTTTTTGGAGGGTTTTCTCTTGATTAATGAGACTTTTATTATTTGAATCCTCTAAATTCTCTTGAACAATCTGAAGTTTGGAAAAAATTTCTTCTTTCTTCTTTCTTCTTTCTTATATTCCAAAAATGATGCTAGTTCCAATATTGAAGTTCTCTAACAAGGTTATTTCTTTTTTATAGAATTAAAAAACTCTAGAGCCATTGACATTAATATCCCAAGCACTCTTAATCACATCATTAATACTAGGGTCTAGGCACCACATGGCTTCAAATCCGAAAGGTTTGGGCCATAGGAGGTGTAAGAATTAGCATCAAGAATCATAGGGGTGTGGTCGGATGCCATAAATGACAGATTTAGGAGTCTACAATTATCAAATTCACATCTCTAATTAGAATTCGAAAGAACCCAATGAATCATTTCTTTAGTTATGCTATTTTTCCAAGTGTATTGGGATCCTTCTATATGCAATTCAATGAGATTACAGTAATCTATCATATGATTGAAATTTTTGGTATGATAAGGAATTACCTTAGTGCCACCTTTTTTATTATCACTTTTTCTAAGAGCATTAAAATCCCCCATGACACACCACAGTCCATGGGTATTATCTGCAATATTTCTAATCCAATCCCATATCGTTATTGGAGATTAAATCAGTAATAAGTGCATGGACAAGCCGATCATTAGTTAAAACAGTATCACTAGAGCAACAAGAAGAGTCCCATAATAACCAAAGGCCTCCAGAAAAACCATTAGATTCAAAAATATGGCTTTTAACAAAATAAAAAGAGGAAGCAATTTTTTTGCTCTATTTGGATTAATCCTAGTTTCCATTAAACAACAAACACTGGGTTTAAACATCCTACAAAGTTCAGCTACTTGACGTCTAAGCTCGATTCTACCAGTTCCTCTAACATTCCCAGAAGAGTTTTCATTTGAAAACATTAAGCTCCTTAGGACCCTACTTGTCCTCTTTCAATTGAGATTCAGTGTTTTTCAGTGGAGATCATATCAGTCCTTGGATCAAAATTGAATTAATCCTCCCAAGACTCGTTTTCTTGTCCTTCCCAATCCCCTTCCATAGCTTCTTCATTATCTCCCTCTTCATCTTCGTACTTAGTATCTGAGTTACCTTCCTCATTCATATCATTTAATTCAATCTTACTATTAGACTGGTGGGAATGAGTACCTACATCAAGGCATATGGTTCCCACTTCATCTTAGGCAGGAAATCTACCAGCCGGCTGGATGTCCTTAGTACTTATCTTCTCCTTTTCGATCCAGCGAAGTTTCTTATGCATCATGTTATCCAGGAGAATCGAAGCAAACATTGGGTTAATGAAGCAAGTCGTATACCCTTTAGCATAATCTTGCCTTTGCGCCTTCAGATGGGTACAGTTGGAAGACTTTTTGGGACCCTATGGTTGCTTGGCTTTAGCCACCGACATAGCCAGCCTTTTCCATTCTCCTTTGACAAAACCCAATTTATGTTTCCTATTCACCACTGTCCACCCAACTTCAGTCCCTTTAGCAGTAACTGAAAGAATTCTAGGTTGGGGTAATTTAATCACACAAAAATGAGTGATCAGTGACCTGTATTTATAATACTCTGTTACAACATAATGAGAGATCCAGGACTTTGACGGGCTCTCATAGATAAATACAATATTAAAAATAAGATAAGAAGGAGCAGATAAAGATAACA